TAGGACCATCAAATTCAATTCAGAGAGGCTCTTATCTGTAAGGTTGGCCTCCAGATCACCATTTTTGGCTAACAACTCATTTTAGGGAATGGCAGGCCATATTGGTGAAATGGAAAATACCCATAAGATACCTGGTATTCAACCATTTTCTATCAGGTGAATCTCCAAACAAATTATCTTGGATAATTTGGAAGGGTCTCAGTTCTAGTTCAGTCCCTTCATTTTACAAATGAAGATAACTGGTCCTGACTTACAGGGCTTGAGATTTTCATTGCAAGAAGTCTGTAACTGGCAGTGTATGGTCAAGTACAAAGGTATCACATCCCTCTTCTGACCTTTCACTAAAGACCATGCACGTGTCTCTCTTAGAGCTCCATTCTCTCATTGCGAGTTGGGTGATCATACATACCTATGGTACCTACCTCATAAAACTTTTGAGAGAATCAAATGCCCAAATGTGTATAAAAGCAGTTTCCAAGCATCAAAGCACTATATAAGCCACGATTAGAGGCTGCCATGTCTATAGACTTAGGTTTTGTTACTTCTGAATCAGAATGTTATTTTCTAGACTTGAGTAATGTAGCTGCAGAACACACCAAATGAACCAGTTCCATGCTTCTTTCTCTATGCCAGTCTATGTTCTTATGTTCTATTGCCCCCTTCCCCTGTAGAACTTGAGCTTCTTAAAGGGATTCTTGACCACGTGAAAGCACCATCTTGTCTTCATTGGCCTCTTATTGCTAGATTAGTACCTGGTGTAGTACTTTCGGGGACTGGTGTAGAGGGTACTCTGTTTACAAGGGTTTTCCACCGTCAAATTTCTGGGTCCTGTTGTCTCTCCTAGGGGCAGTATGGTTGAAATATCAGTGGTGTTCAAATTAGAATTCTTGGCTTTAGAGCAGGAAGGAATCTTAGTAGTCATCCTAGCTAGCCACCATCATTTTGCAGAGGAGGAAAGGGAGGCCTGAAGAGTAACTTGCCCAGGGCCATACAGGTAGTAACCAAGGTAGTTTGCTAACCTCAGGTCACAGAATTTGAGAATCAGAAGGGGTCTCAACAGCCATCCAGTCCAATTCGCACATGGAGTGTGAGTCCCCACTCTTAACGTAGCTGATGGTGCTTGATGATTGTCCTGGCTGTTCCTGAAGACCTCCAAAGAGAGAAGACTCACAATGCTCTAGCAGATGTAGTGCTACGCGGCAACAGGGCAGACCACTGAGGTGTTAGCAACATGATGGTGGGCAGGCAAGACCGTTAGAGGTACTTGCACTACCACACTCAGAGTTATCATTATTAAGAAGAATACTGCATGAGAAAGGGCTTTCTTGCTGAAGTGTTTCACAGAGCTAAATTAGTGTAACATAGTTCCATGTTTCAAGTCAGTCCAGTACTAAGTGCCTACTATGTGCCGGGCATGGTACCTAGAGATACAAAGACCCAAAGCAGACACCAAACCCTGTCCCCAACAGTTCTTGGCCTCAAGGAATTGGAAGTCAGTGGGAGGTGGAGGAACCAAGCTAGGGCATTGGAAAAGGCCTCTGGTACAATGTAACACTCAAGTTGGACCTTCCTGAGAAGGAAAAAGGGATTGGCTGCAAAGGGGTCCTTGAACCTATGGACAGCCACAGAGAGGAGGAGATGCAACGTCCTGGATGGAGAGCAGCACGTGTGCCCATTTGGCTGGAGCACAGAACATGCATGTGGCCCATGAGGTGGGATCAACCTGAAAAGATGAGCTTGAACCAAATTGTGAAGGGCTCGATGCCAGGCAGCAGCTAGGGGATACCACAAAGCCCTGGGCCGAAAGTCAGGAAGTGTTGAGTTCGGAATGTGTTTGTTTGGTTAACAGGTTCATTTTTTCATTTGAGTTCTGATCCAGCCTCAGACCCTTCCTAGCTGGGTGACCCTGGGCAAGTCACTTCACCTCTGTCTGCCTCAATTTTCTCATCAGTAAAATGGGGTGATTATAACACCTGCCTCCAGGGTTGTTGTGAGGACCAAAATGAAAATATTTGTAAAGTACTTGGAAAATTAGAAAGCTCCGTATAAATAAATGCTAGCTATTATTAACTCTAATCAACTGAAGCTGTCATTGAGAGTCATCAAATTTGGAGTCTTTAGTATCTAACTTTGTAAAGACACTTCTTCCCCCCCCCCCCCCCCCCCCCCCCAATGATGCTCGTGCTGGTATTGGTCTTGGAGCCAGAGCTTGGAGATATCTCCCTGCTTGGTCAGCTCATCACTAGTATGGGGGTTGTGCTTCTCATGCTACCAGTGGCACAGGGTGAAAGGCCCCATGAGAACAGGGAGTGTGGTTACTGTTAGTGAGTCAGTTTTCCATTTGCACACAAATGCTAATTAGAGTTTAGATGCTCAAACCTAGGTCTTTTGACATTAAATCCAGTATTCATTCTCTTATACCACAACTGTATTCCAAAGTGTGCTCCCTTCTCTCTCTCTCTCTCTCTCTGTCTCTCTCTCTGTCTCTCTCTGTCTCACACACACACACACACACACACACACACACACACACACGTATTCCGGTCTCCTGGAGAGTAGACTATGAGGAGCAGTATGCAGTGGGGCGGCCTCTGAACTCGAAGACTTTGATTCTTGACTAGCTGTACGGAGTGTAGAAACCAAGTCAGATGTTTCCCGTCATACCCTGCCAGAACAGGGTCATCCCCGCAGCTCTTTGGCCTCTACATTCCTGAGCCTTCGTGTTTCCTTTGAGACAGAAGACCAAAGGGCCTGTGATGAGGCAGGCTTTGCTGGAGCCCTGCCTCGGAGGCATGTGTCTGCACTAGCAAAGGGAATTACTCTACCCCAAATTCCTTCAGCCTTTCATCCCCAGCAGCGATTAGTGCCTCTCCAGGTGTGCCCGCATCAAAGCGGACAGGCAAGCTCTTGAGGTACTCATCCACCAAGACCGAGAAAGGGGAGTTCACAGGGCTCATCTCCCTCAGGTGCTGTTTGATGTGCTTGATCCCAGTTTACAATGAAAGCCAAATCAAGGTGCGGAGAGCTGGCTTGTTTACCTCCTTCTGAAGCCCTGATGGTCAGGATTTGAGCTCCCTGGAGCCTTCTCCGGTTGGTGAGGGGTCTCCCACGCACTATTTATTTACCTGTGCACTGCATTGGGCACAGCTTCGAGAGCCTTTTGGTTTTTTCTTAAAGGAAAAGAACGCACCTTACACTTGTCGATCACAGTTTATATCCCTGTATCCCACGATACATAGGAAGTGCAAGACGTGATTGATTCTGTCTGGAGAATGCAGGATGGTCATTTTTTCTGTGCCCTGCTTTTCGGAATCATCGTGACTGGTTACCTGCCGTTTCAGAATTCTCTCCATGCTATTTATTGCCCTAAATTGGTGATCTTCACACTTCTTAGATCACACACCCTATTTAAAAAAATGTTTGGCACACACTCCCAATGTTTGTTTGCAAATTAAGTGCTGGTACTACTCCATTAATATTATGTACATAATAAAACCTTCACAGAAATATAAAATAGGGAAGTTAGGCTAAAAGTGAAATTAGCAATGGAATAAGGTGCAGTTAGCTGTACAGAAAACCTTTTTGTTTTTATACTAATAAATATAATTTTCCTTAAAAGCAGTGTGATTAAATATACTTATAAATATTTTTTCAACTTGGTTTACCTGGCTAAGGTGAAGGTGTGGTACCTGAATCCTTTCTGCCAGGGAGGCTGAGGCTGATGGATTGCTGGAGTTTAGGGGCTCGGAGCAGCAGCAGCAGGGCTAAAGCTGATGGGGGTCCTCACCACGGAAGAACAGATATCGTGAGCCCCTAAGAAGGTGGGGGCTGGCCCAAGTCAAACTTCCCCAGATCAGCCGTGAATTTGGCTTGGTGAGTGGCTGGTGTGGCTGCTGACCTTCTACCCCGAGCCAAGAGAGGGAAGCTGTGACTCTGTCCCTCTGTCCACGCACCCCCTGTCACCCGCTCTAGTCTTGGTGTAAGACTTTGTGACACTATTCCAAGGTCTAATTAATTCAGTACTTGATTTTAATGGCTCTCATAGCTTTGGGAGGAGAAAAAGATGCTTTGCAAAGATGTGTAGATCTGAATGGACTGAGTGCTTGGTTGAGTGTATTTAACAGATCATGTCTGACTTGATCCCACCTGCTGGTTATGCAGAGGTTTTTGTTGAAATTCAGCTAGTAGTTGTCCATCTCCCCATGATTTGGAAGAAGCCCTAGAGGTCAGGTGCCAGATTTGAGGGACCTTTGGGACTGCCAGTTCTCCAGTATGGCATGAGGGTCAGTGAGTGCTTCTAAACTAGAAGGGTACGGTGTAGCCCCTGGGTATTCTGGTGAGTGAGCATGGTACCCAAGTCAAATGAGGCACGAGCTGGCCGAAAAGCCGTGGAACAAGCCTGCCCTCTAGTGGGTGGATGGCCCAGCTGGCCCAGAAGGAGCCGTTTGTTTTCTGCTGCCTGACTTGGCTTGCAGTCCTTGAATGCCTTATGCAGCCTTGTAGGACAGTTGCATCTATGCCAGGTTGTCTGAGTCGACTTTGAGCCTCCCTGAGCTCTGTGCCCAGTGAACCTGTGAAAATGGCCACTTAACACTTAGCTATCTGTCCATGCGTGCACAATTAGATAAGATTCTTGAAGGCGGTTTGTCTTATGTTTCTTTATATTCCCCACAGTGCCTAGGATAGGGCTTGTAAAGTTTTTATCTTCAGTTATTTTTAAGAGGAAATATATAATGATAAATTAGAATAATTATTGATTCCCACCATTGGTAAGTGTGGACCCTCCAAATCGCTGCTTCAGTCCAACAGACACTTCCCTTGTGTTCCTGGAGCCTGGCCGCCGGCAGGGAAGGTTGAGAACAGGGGCTGTGCATGTCTGTCACCAGAGTGGCCTCCTGAGATGCAGAGGAGTTCCCATAAAGAATTCCTTGGGGGAAGAGCATTGTGGGGATCTTGAAGGGGTGAGAAGTCTTGGGCATAAATCTGTGTTGTCTTTTCAGGCCAAACGAGCTGTACAGCGAGGGGCTACTGCAGTCATCTTTGATGTCTCAGAAAATCCAGACGCCATTGACCAGGTAAAACCTCTGGTTCCCATCGGAGGCCTCCCTGTCCTGTAGGAGACCTCGGCCTTGCCTTGAGTCTCCCGAATGGAGGAGAGGCGCAGAGGCTGGGCCTGTGGGGCCCAGGGGGCTTGTTACCTTGTGAAAATGAACCCAGACTGAGGGATATGCCTTGTGTCCAGGCATCTGGCCATGCCACTTGAGCCACATCTCTGCCCCTCAGTAGTTTCAAAGTCTGCCTTTCCCTAAGGCCCCCAGCTGCCAAGAATGAGCCGAAAGCAGCCGGACCTTGGCTGTGGGGCAGCTTAGAAAAGGCCTCTGGCTTGTCTTTGTCCCTCCCCTCTTAACCGCTTTGAGGGCCTTTGAATGACTCCATTATTTGGCATCATCTTTCCTTCCCTAGCTGAACCAGGGCTCAGAAGATCCACTGAAGAGGCCCGTGGTGTACGTGAAAGGGGCTGATGCCGTCAAATTGATGAACATCGTTAACAAGCAGAAGGTGGCACGAGCACGGATTCAGCATCGACCGCCCCGGGTAAGGCCCCCCGGGTTCTTCCAGATCCTGCTGCAAATGCAGCCAACCCTGTGCTTAGCGACACGTTGAGTTGTTTCTGGTCCCTGGCTCTGACGATGCCTGGGTGCCCTGAGCACCTGGTCCTTGGAGCCAAGGAAGTCACAGGGCTGGCCCTAGGGAAAGCTCGCCCGTGGTGTAGCCGCAGATGTCGGGAATGGCTCAGTAGAGGACCCAGATGGATTTGGAGCATCCTTCTTCTGCCCAGCATCCCTGCTTCTCGGGCTCCCTTCCTCCTAGGCTCACGCTTGTTCTCTGCTGTTCTACAGCCTCTACAAGAAGTGGAGTCTTGAAAAGAAAACTAAAGCAAAAGGTAGTAGGATTAATTGGAAAGAATGAAATATAATTTTGTACCCCTCATTTTTCTGTTCTCCCTACGTTTGCTTAGGACTATACGCTTGAGACAAGGAATCCTCTTATGAGTAGGTGAATTTACTTTTGTGACTTAGATTAACGCCTTCAAAAAATTAGTCCTTATCAGTGACAGAAATTAATTTCCTCCCAGGAAGTTGGTGAGTTCAGTTCAGTTCAGAGTCTGGTCTCAGTATGGACAGGAAGGCTGCTGACAGCCTCTGACTCTCCTCTGGCACCTTTGTCCCAAGCCTTAGCCTGGAGGCTTGTGGGGCCCGGGGACAGATGCTCCACATGCCTTTCCTCTCCCTTCTTTGAAAAAATTTCCCAGCATTTAAGCACTCGGGTTCTTCAGAAGAACGCCGTGCTGTCTGCTGAGCCTCTGGCCTCTCTTTCCTTACAGAGAGGTCTTCTAGGTTTGGGGGGGAGACTTTCTGTAAGCAGAGACAGAACGCTTCAAAGTAAAGGCAGTTACGGACGAGCTGAATGGCTGGCTTCCTTTTAAAGGAGAAAGAGACGTAGCGCCTTGGTAAATATGAATCACAGTAGTGAAAGCTGGTATTTATTGAGGCAGCGTACAATTTTCTGAGTTGTTACAACCATTAATTGTGTGGCTGGTAATCACTGTTCCCTCAAACATGACACTCACTCCTTTGTTCTGCAGATGTAATATTCGGGCTTCTCTGCCAGGGCCTTGCCATAGAATGGATCTTTGCTCTTCTCCGGGGGGCTGGTTTCTCGAAAGCCAGCGCATGGCTGCCCAGCGCAGTAGAGAGCACCAACTCAGGCCTGCTCGCTCATCTTTGCCCAGGCCGAGCAATTTTCTGGGAAACGAAGAGAGGCTGAGGGCCAGCGGCTGTGCTTCAGGGTCTGGGGCCATGATCCCCGCGTGCTACAAGAGACCCTGCTCAGGGAGAAAACAAAGGCAGAGGGAAAGCTGGGGACAGATGAGGAAGTTCAAAGCAACGGGTTAACCATGATCTCTTTTTCCCCAGCAACCCACTGAGTACTTTGACATGGGCATTTTCCTGGCTTTCTTTGTGGTGGTCTCCTTGGTTTGCCTCTTCCTCCTCGTCAAAATCAAGCTGAAGCAGAGACGCAGCCAGGTACGGTCAAAGGCAGCCCCTGGGCCCAGGCCTCCTGACGGTTTCGTAGCTAGCCAGTAGGTGTGAAAGACCCCGAGCCAGCAGTCAGCAAGCATGGATGACGTGCCTACTCTGTACCAAGCATTGTGCTGAAGAGACCATCCTTTACCTCAGAAGGGGGAGGATTTAGAGTAACAACCCGTGCATTCATGAGTAGGCATTTATTAAGCACTTACTGTGCACTAAGCACTGGGGATAGAAATACAAGTAAGCAGAAGAGTTCTCGCCCTTAGGAAGCCTACGTTCTAATTATGCCTCAAGGGGCTCTAGAGGTGGAGAGGGACAGAAGAGAAGGCCTAGATTGCAGGGGGCACCGTTTGAAAATGGCCAGGAATGAAATGCGTGATCCTCTCCTGGAACTGGGGAGTCCACAAAGGCTTCAAGCTGGAGGTGGCTGTCAGGGATTCAGAGAGGTTGGGCTGAGGCGTGGGGCTCAGCCAGTGCAAAAGTGTGGAGAGGAGAGATGGGGAACTAATGGATGATGAGACTGGAAAGGTTGGTGGTGGGGACTGGCTGGTTCCCAACAGAGGATGGTCAGTCTTAGAGGTGATGGATGAGCCATTGGAGTTGAACAGAGGAGTGACATAGGGAGACCTACACTTGGGGAAGATCCCGGGGGAAGACTGATGGAAAGAGGCTTGAGGCAAGCAGCCTGACGAGGGGACCACTGCAAAGGTGGTGGGATCCGATAGCAGCTGGTGGCTGTCTGAGAGGCTGTGATGGAGAAATGACAAGGATCGGCAGCTGACTGGATGAAAAGGGTGGTGAGTGAGTGTGGAGAGCAGAGGGCGGGCACTGAGGCCTTGAGGTTTTGGACATAGTTAAAAGGATTGCATTATCTTCAACAGAAAAATAGGGATATTTGGAGGAGAGGAGCGTTTGGGAAGAAAGAGTGATTTTAGGGTGCGTGTACTGCCTCAAAATACGCAAGAAGCAGTTCATTTGTGACTGGAGCTTGGGAGAGAGAGATTACGGAGTCATTGGCATAGAAAAGATGATTAGACTCATGAGAGTTAATGAAATCACTGAAGAATGTAGAAAGGGAAGAAGGCCCAGGACAGAGAGGATGTAATATGGGTGGTAAAACAACAAAGGAGACTGGGGATGAGGGAGCAGCCAAGACAGACACTTGATAGACACTTCAATGAGGGAGTGTCACAGAAACCCAGAGGAGGAAACACTCCCTTCCACCACCCCCACCGCCAGGCAGGCGCTCACCGTAGTAAGGCCAGACTTAATACGCACAGCCCACTGCAGCTCAGAACGTAGATCCACCAGCCTCTGAACCTCCCAGTAGTTGGAGTGACAGGTGTGCCTGACAACAGCCATCCAGAATTCTCTAGCAGTTTGGCTGAGACGGTGGCAGATAAAGGACGGTAGCTTGAGGAGATGATAGGGGTATCTGAAAGTTTTTCAAGGAAGCCTGAGGTTTGGGTATCTTTCTAAGTAGCAGAGGAAAGATTGAAAGTAAAGAAGTGAGAAGAATAAACCTAACAAGAATTCCTAAAAGAGGTAAGGTATTTGGGTTTATTTTTAAAGGAAGAAATTAAAAAAAAAAATTTAAAGCAAATGAGAGCAGCAGAGGAAGAAAAATGGAGAAAAACAAATGAGAGATATGTAAAAAAGATATGAAAAAAAATAAACTCCTTGGTAAAAGAAGTATAAAATCTTACTGGAATCTTACTTGAAAATTAGAATTAGCCAGATGGAAGCTAATAACACCATGAGGCATCAAGAAATAATAAAACAAAATCAAAAGGATGGAAGAGAAGAAAATATGAATTATTTCTTTTTTAATAGTGTTTTTTTTTCAGATTACTTGTAAAGACAATTTTTAACATTTGTTTTAAAAAATTTTTGAGTTCCAAAATTTCTTCCTCTTTCCCTTACCTCCCTTCTTCTAAGATGGTAAGCAAGTTGATATAGGTTCTGTGTGTGTAATCATGTCTGTATTAGTCATATTGTGAAAAAAGAAACAGACTGAAAAGAAAAAACATACACATATACACACATAAGTGAAAATAGTGTGCTTTGATCTGCATTTAGGCTCCACCAGTTCTTTCTGTGAGTGTGGATAGTATTTTTCATCATAAGTCCTTTGAAATTTTCTTGGATCATTGTATTACTGAGAAGAGCTAAGTTTATTCATAATTGATCATCATACAGTGTTGCTGTTACTGTGTATAGTGTTCTCCTAATTCTTCTCACTGAAAATGTGAAGTATTTCATAGGAAAAATAATTGACCTGCACAAGAGATTGAAGAAAGATAATTTAAGAATCATTGGTCTACCTGAAAAAAAACCCTACACATCATATTTAAAAAAATGATAAATCTCTTAGAGCCAGAGGGCAAAATAGAAATTGAAAGCATCCACCATTCACTTCCTGGGGGAAAAAAAAAGCAACATTAAAAGCTCCAGGAATATTATAGCCCAAATACAGACCTTCTCAGGTGAAGGAAAAAATACAGCAGGCAGTCAAAAGGAAAGAATTCAGGTACCACAGAGACACAATCAGGAGCACACAAGATTAAGCAGCCACATGGGTTAAGGAACATAGATTTTGGAAAGTAAAACTGAATATAATCCCACAAGGGAAAAAATGAAATAGAGTATTTTCAAGCATTCCTGATGAAAAGACCAGAACTGAGTAGAAAATTTAAATTCACACTCAGGACTCGAGAGTAGCATTAAAAAAGTAAATATTAGTAAAAAAAAAAAAATCATAAAGGACTAACCAACTGTTAGATTGTTTACCTTACTATATAAGGAGAGGAAAAATGCAGCCCCTCAGAACCATCCTATCACCAGGGGTCATAAAGGGAGTCTCAATTAAAGAAGGCCTGGGTGTGATTCTGTCATGTTTGAATGATCTCAGAAGAATGGAAAGATGGGGAAGAGGAATACAATGTGAAAAGGAAAGGAAGAACAGGGGAAATTATCTTACATACATGAGGCACACAAAAAAGAGTTCATACAATGGAGGAGGAGGTGGGCAACACTTAAATCTCATTTTTATCCTAACTGGTTAAAGGAAGGAAGAATACCCATAGATACGGCTGGGTAGAAAAAAGCCACGTCACTCAGCAGGAGGAAGAGGCTAAGGGAAAGGAAGGGGTGGAAATACGAGGGAAGGTAGATTAAGGGAGTCAGTGGCATAAGTAAAACATTCTTAAGGGAGGGTAAGGGGTGGGGGGGGGAAGAAAATGTATAAGCAAATAAGAGAGATTCCTTAGAGGAAGTGAGTCAGGTGAAATCACTCATAAAATGGAAGAAGTTAGCAGAAATTATTAGAAACCAGGATACAACAATACATTTGTTTAAAAAAAAAAAACTCTTGAAAAGACACACAGAGTTAAAATAAGGGGCTGGAGCAGAATATATTATTCTTCAGCCAAAGTAAAAAAGGCAGGTATAGCGATCATTACCTCAAATAAAGCAAAAACAAAAACAGGAAAAAATTAAAAGAGATAAATAGGCAATGCACATATGGCTAAAAGGCGCCATGGACAATATATTAAATCTCAATACTGAACATATATTCGCCAAATGATATGGCATCTAAATTCTTAAAGGAAAAGTTAATTGAATTACGGAAGGCAACAGTAAAACTAAGTAACTTACTTCTGAAGAACGGACAGCTGGGTGGCACAGTGAATGGAGTGCCAGGCCTGGAGTCCGGAAAACCTGAGTTCAGAATCAGCCTCAGGCACTGACTAGCTGTGTGACCCTGGGCAAGTCACTTTGCCCTGTTTACCTCAGTTTCCTCATCTGTAAAATGAGCCAGAAAAGGAAATGACAAAATCACTCCAATATCTTTGCCAAGAAAACCCCCGAAAGGGGTCATGGAGAGTTGGACAAGACTGAACGACAGAAGAACGAGTAGGTCAAAGAACAAATCAGAGAAAACCATTTCGTTAAAGTTAATGATAGCAATGAAACAACATACCGAAATCTGTGGGATGCAGCAAAAGTAGGGCTTAGGAGAAATTTTATATTTCTCAATGCTCACAGCAATACAAGAACAGGCAGATTCGTGAATTGGAATATGAAATACTGAACACCACCACCACCACCACCACCACCACCAAAAATCTGTGAAAGACCAAAATAAAAATCCCGAAAGTCAAAGGAGAGATTAACAAAATTGAAAGTCGCAAACCCATTGAGCTAATAAATGAAACTAAGAGCTGGTTCTTAAAAAATCCATGAAATAGACAAACCATTCATTTGATTTATTTAAAAGAGAGAGAGAAGAGAGTCTTTCAGAGACTGAAGAAGAGAGTGGTGGGGGCAGGGGGGTGATCCAGGAGTCAGGAGGAGTTCTGGCAGAGGCCTCTTCTTCCTGTCCAGTATGAGGTGCTCAGCTCACAGGGTGGAAGGGGGCTGGAGAAGGGGAGAAAAGCTTAGAGTAGTTGATTTGGGGAGCAGGATAGAGCTCACGAGGGAGGAGTAGCAGGGTTGCCTCTGCCCCAGCGAGGGTCCAGGTGAGATTGGAGAGCGTACGTTTGTGTTGAATCCGGTCAGCACGGTTAGCGTGGTGTCATTGGGAGCCCTGTGGATTAGCTAACAGCTCCATTTTATAAGATTAAAGAGATAAGTAACTTGACCGAAACCTACACAACTAAGAAGTACAAGAACTAGGACCCCACCTCAGCTCTCTTGACCCCAGCCGCCCTCTTTCTGTTCCCCTGCCCAGAATCCGACTTCCTGAGAGTCCTGAGTGACGATGGTCTTTGTTCTAAAATGCAGGGAGCAGCTTCTCCCTCAGAAAAACAGAGAGCTTGATTTCTCTTAATTTCGGTAGGGATGAGGGCTGTAGAGCAGGGTCTAAAGTTCTGAAGCCTTTACAGATCTGCTCCTCTGAGGGGGAGACATGAAGTGAGTCCTGCAGTCACTCATCCCAAATAAGCAGTAGTGTTCCCTGTGTGTGTGCGTGTGTGTGTGTGTGTGTGTGTGTGTGTGTGTACGTGCCCATGCATGCATATATGCCCCCACCCATGTGTGCATGTGCATCAGTACACAGTTTAAAAGGCAGGAGTTCTAGGCAGGGGAATCCAGAACCTTGAATCTGTGCTGGTATGAAATTTCAGAAACTGTCCTGATGCAGAAAATGCTGTCCTTCCATAGCACTAGTCAGCTGCCCTGACCGGGACCTGGCCTGTGGAGAGAGATGGGTCTGGCCAGAGGTTCTAGTTGGGGAAACAATCCCTCTGTCAGGACGCCGTCTTGTAACAGTATAATGAAGGGTGATCCCTGATGGTAACTACTCAGAATTTTCTGAGTCTGGGTGATGGCTACGCTGAGCCTCAGTTTAAGAGGAGTCCTCCCCACGTTTCTTAGCAGACTGCTGCCCTTTCTATGGTGGTACCTATATAGAGCATCGTAGATGTGCTCTGCTGCTGCTGCTGAGAGGCCGACGTGGGCATGGGGATTCTGGCATTCCTGCCTTCGTCCTGCCCTGCTTTCAAAGGCGGGAGGGACTGGCTGCTCTCGGGAAGACATTCCAGATTTTGACATCGCCTCTGGTCCAGAAAAAAACAGTTGTTGTTGAGAATGCACTTAGCCTTGATAGGCTGACCCCATGGAACCTGAGCTGATCAGATAAGAATTCCCTTAATTCTGGGGCTCTTTTGAGGGGCTTCCTGCTAGGGTCATCTCAAAGACGTTAACTGAGCTTGCGTTAGGGAAATAACCTCCTGTCCCTCGCTAAGATTTTTGAAGAGGCAGCTTTTCTGTATGGATATCTAAAATGGAGATGTACACACACACAGTAATACGAATTTGATGAGGAAATAGTCAAATGTAATTTGGCTGAAAACAGACCAAGTCTCCCCACAACTGTAAAAGTTGAATATTTGTATACTTTTGGAAATGTTGTAGTGTTACACAGCATGATTTTATGTCAAATATAAAATGCCATGTTTCTGAAAGTAATTATTTGAAAAACCTTGAAAAATTAATTATTTGAAAAAACTTGCCCACCTATATCCTGCTAGCTGTCTTTTCTGCTGTCTCCTAGTAGGCTATCCGTTGACAAGACTTAACTGTTATCAAGTTGGGTAAATCTATAATAATTCTCACTTACTTTGTGAATTGACACGATAATTAGGAATTTTTAAACTCTCAGAAACAGACATGCAAATGTAAACCATTTTTCATCTTAGCGAAACTTTTGCCATACTATAGGTGTGGTGTCCAGCTTAAAATCATGGGACATTTTGTCCGGTGAAGATGAGGATGGATGTCCTCTGCTTGGATCCTGCCTTTAAGGACTCAATTTTTGGCTGGCAGGATTGGTTGTTTCCTATGAAAAAAGAAGTTTTGGGTGATGATAATTTTAGGTTTTTTCTTAATTGCTAGGACCTTTTTTCATTGTTATTACTATTTTTACTGTGGAGATGAAACAGACAGTGGTCGCTTGAAGTCTAAGCTTGGCTAACATTGTCTGATTGTGTGTTTCTTTGTGGCAGAAGCGAGTCATTTAAAAGAAATTTAAATGTCAAAATCAGAGTTCTATATTTAAGTTGTCAGCGGCCGTGCCTCGTATCATCATTTGGGAGATGATCCTGTGAATCCCGCGTGGACTGCATCTGTTCAAAAGCCAGGAGAGTTACAGGTTTCTCAGGAGAGTGTGGTCAGTGTCGTAGGCAGCCTGCGCTTTTTCCTGAGGGCATTGACTCCGGGTTAGCGCCCGCCAGTTCCGGGTGCTCGGGCAGCACATCCGCTCTCACAACTTGGCACTTTCTCAGTAGACTGCAGAGCTTTCGAGCGCCTGATGCCCCGACGCACTGGGGTGCGGCCCCCCTCATCGGGAAGCTTGCATGGCAGAGTCCCGATGGCCGCGTCCTCCTCTCTTGTAGAATTCAATGAACAGGCTGGCCGTGCAGGCGCTGGAGAAGATGGAGACCAGGAAGTTCAAGGCGAAGAGTAAAGGCACGCGAGAAGGGAGCTGGGGGGCCCTGGACACCCTCAGCAGCAGCTCCACTTCGGACTGCGCCATCTGTTTGGAGAAGTACATTGATGGAGAGGTAAGAGCGAGGACATCTACGGGCGTGCTTCACTGGCGGACAGTCGGGGAGGGAGGGTGGACATAATTAATGCTTTCTCTATGCCACGAGGGGCAGGTAAGTGGTACCGTGGTACATGTCTTCATGAGTTCAGATCCAGCCTCAGACACTGACTAGCTGTGTGACCCTGGGCAGGTCACTTCACCCCGTTGGCCTCAGTTTCCCTTTCTGTACAATGAACTGGAGAAGGAAATGGCAAACCTCTTCAGTATCTCTGCCAAGAAAACCCCAGATGGGATCACGAAGAGTCAGACCCGACTGAAAGATGAGTGAACAACAGCCGCTCTGCCTCCGTCGGCTGGCTCGTCAGTGAGAGCCAGACAGAAATAAGTCCTTGCCCTGCCCCGGGGAGCTTCTTTGTCCCTGGGCTCATCTGTCACCCGGTGCCTGTGTGCGGTTGGGTAGGTCTAGAACCTTGTCCAGGTTAGGACGGACAGCAGCACCTTCTCACCCTCTGCACCGTCCAGGCTAGAGCTGGTAGGTGGAAGTCCCGGGGAGGCAGAAGTCAGTCCAACGTGAGGAGAGGTCCAGCGTGGAACAGGCCGCCCAGGCAGCGGTAGCACCTCCTCCCCGTTGCTCAGCAGGCTTTCAGCAAAGGCTGCCTGATTGATGGGGAATGCTGTAAGTAATACACAGCAGTAACACGCAGAGGGGCGGGCATGATGGCTCATGTCATTTTCACCACCAAAATTCTGTTCCTTTGATCAAAATGTAGGTGGAGTCCTTTTTGACTTCTCACTTCAGTATCTCAAAGATTCATCGTGTTGCTTTCCCTGGGGTGATACTCCTGCGTGAACCCAGGTCCCAAGACCTCTTGTGATCTAGTAGGCGGCTGTGGCTAAGCCGTTGGTCCCCTGGAGCCACAGTTGTGCTGGGCCTCTGCTGATGGAGGCCAGCAGCCCTCGGCGGCCCTGTAGCCCGCCACGTGCATGTGAAAGCCTTAGCACACGCTGGTAAGGGGCTTTCTGAGGAGCGGGGAAAAGGGCAGGGGCTCTGTATGGAAGGAGCTTCTCCAGGATCCTGGACCTCGGAGGTCAGTGCAGGCCGTGTCAGCCCCAGGCGGCCTTTGGGATGACGCATCTGCAGCCAGTGAGGAGGGGGCCTGCTGCATTGTCCTGAACTGGTCCCTTCCTCTTCTCTCTGTCCCATTTTTATTATTCAGGGATATCCTTGAGCCTTGGACACTTAGATCAGCTCTAGCCCCTCTGACTTCCTGGACCTCTGTCCAGTGCCCCCTTCACAAGTGTCCCTGAAGCTTCAATGTGGACAGAGCACGTGGCTCCTAACAGTGCTGAGGGGGCAGCCGTGGAAGGGTCGTTGTTCTCATTTTACAGACGGGGGACTGTGGGCCCAGAAGAGTGCAGGGAGTCTCCAGTGGCTCGGGGGCCGTGTGGCTCCATGCTGGGAGGTCATCTCTCCAGCCTCCTGAGGGCGGGGTGGCGGAGCCCCGGAAGATGCATGAGGCACATGCTGCGGCCCTCCGAGGGGCCGAGCAGCACAGGGTCTTCCCCGGGGCTGTTCTTGGCGGTACCGGGGCCTCCATAGGGGTGTTCTTGATGGCACCGGGGCCTCTGCGGGGCATTCCTGGGGCCAGGATTCTGGCAGTGAACGTTGTTCTCCTCTTACATTCATAGGAGCTCCGGGTCATTCCTTGTACTCACCGATTTCACAAGAAGTGCGTGGATCCCTGGCTGCTTCAGCACCACACCTGTCCCCATTGCCGTCACAACATAATAGGTGAGCGGGGCTCGCTGGCCTGCTTGCGGGGGAGCCCTGGGCAGGGGCACCTGCCTGCGCACACCGTCTGCCAGCAGATCGATGGGCTGGCCCCTCAGCCTCACCAGAGGCCACGCTCACACCGCCCATGGGGCGGTCGGTGAGTATGTGAAGGCAGCTTGAGAAAGTGAAGGCTGAGCAGTGGTTTAGCTGCTCTCAGGGCTGCTCTTGCCCCGCTGGCTTAGCCCCTGGACTCCCAGGCTCTGGGTCTCCTGGGTGTGAGTGTCAGTCCTCACCTGTGGCTGCGTGGCCAGGTCCCCTCCTCTTTCTGTGGCTCTCCTCCCTTAGCCTGGGGGGTTCTCGGGAGCCACCCGTCCGTAAAGTCAGGCCTCCACTCTGGACAGCTGGAGTGGACCCTCCCGAGCTTGTGTCCACTGGTCAGTGTAACTCTGGAGGGCCAAAGTGGGAGTATGCTTGGTTTGCTCGTGGGCCCGTCTTCTGCCCTCCTTGGTTCTCCAGGTGACAGGGCAGCAGGCACAGAGTGGCCCTCACTCCTTGAACGGAGAACAGTGCCGGCCCTTTTGCAGGGTCCTGGCCTCCTTGTGCCTCTGGCTGGAACCAGAGGGACCTGACTTGAGTTGAGCTGTGAGGTCGCCCACCTCGGTTTCTTTCTGCGAACGTCTAGCCTTTTTCTCCCTTTCCCCTAGAACAAAAGGTAAACTCCGGGCCTGGGTGCGCGGAGCCCGGTAACCCCGCGCGGAGCCGGCAGCCGAGGGTCATCTTACCGGTGCATTATCCGGGGCGAGTGCACAGGACCAGCCAGATCCCGGCGTATCCCATGCGGACGAGTATGGACTCCCAAGGGAACCCCATCACGCTGCTTACCGTCGACCCCCACGGGGAGCAGAGCCTGTACACAGGCCAGGCCCCGGCCTACCTCCCCGGCTACCCGCCGCTGCACCTGGACCACGCCCTAAACCCTCACCGCTGTGGCTTGGAGCACAGGACTTACGCGCCAGCCCACGCCTTCCGCAGGTCCAAGTTCAGTGGGCGTGGCCTCTCCAAGGCCGCCTGCCTCTCCCAGTACGAGACCATGTACCAGCATTACTACTTCCAGGGCCTGAGCTACCCGGAGCAGGAGGCGCAGGCCCCTCCCGGGCCCTCCCGTGCCTTCCAGCCCAGCGGCAGTCTGCTCTTCCCCACCGTGGTCCACGTGGCGCCGCCTGCCCATCTGGAGAGCGGCAGCACGTCCAGCTTCAGCTGCTACCACGGCCACCGCTCGGTGTGCAGCGGCTACCTGGCCGACTGCCCCGGCAGCGACAGCAGCAGCAGCAGCAGCGGCTCGTCCGGACAGTGCCGCTGCTCCTCCAGCGACTCGGTGGTCGACTGCACCGAGGTCAGCAACCAGGGCGTCTACGGGAGCTGCTCCACCTTCCGCAGCTCGCTCAGCAGCGACTACGACCCCTTCATCTACCGCAGCCGCAGTCCCTGCCGGACCGCCGAGGGGGGCGGCCTGAGCCGGGGGCCCACGGCGCTCCTGGAAGGGCCCCCCCACGAGGAGCTCCCGGCGCCCGGCGCAGCCTCTCCCTCCGGGGACCAGCTGTCCAGCTGCAGCCTCGAAGTCAACTATAGCAGCCATTCCTCTCTGGAGCCCAGGGATGTGAGCAGCTCTACCTCAGAAGGGGGGCTCGAGGCTCCTCCAGGGGCCACGTGGGACGTCAGGAGGGCCTGGAGGGGCCCGGAGGCCTCCGCGGCGGCTCCCGACCCGTCATGCGCGTGCCGCTTTGAGGCACCGCGCCCGGCTCTGGAGTCTGGCGCGGGAGCCTCCTGTCTGGGCCCGGACCATTTGCGTAGGACAGACGGGGTGAGGTGCGGGGGCTTGCCCTGCTACTTCTATGAAGAGAAGCAGGGGGCGCCCGGTGGTAGCGGCAGCAGCTGCTACACTGAGGACTACGCGGTGAGTGTGCGCTACACGCTCCCCGACGAGACCCTGCCGAGCTGCTATCTGGGGTCTCGGGAGCTGGGCCAGCGCATCCCCATCATTCCTGAGGACATGGACTGTGACGTGGACAGCTCCTGGGATGAGCTCCCTGAGTCGGTCCCTCAGCAACACCAGGGCCTGGGGGAGGCCCAGGAGGAGAGAGACCTGGGCTTCCCGGCTCGTGCCTTCCAGCTTCCCCACGAGGAAGAAACCAGGGCCTTCTTCTCTCGGGCCACCCTGGACTCCTCGGAGGCAGTGGCACCCACGGAGGCTGCAGGTAAGAGGCTTCCCTTTGGAGATGCGGGGGGTGGTTACCCCAGGACCTGAGAGGAGCTTTAATGAGGAGGGACTCAGGGATCTCCTGGACCCCAGCCCTCCTATCTGGCTGAAACGTGCCCTGGCCAAGTACTCTGGTTTGTCTGACGCCTGTGTTCTTTCTCCCAGGCCTGGGACCTCACCCTCACCCACCACTGGACAGAAGTGGCAGAGTTATCTGAGCGCAGACGGACTTTTAGCTGGAAACAGCAACTCGGTGGAGACTCCGAATTGTTTGACTTCCTTTCAAAAGAAAAAAGAAACAAAAAGGCAGAACTTTTTTTAGCTTTGACAAACAGAAAAGTGGTAATATGGAGAGCCAGCCCTGCCCTTTCCCCCAGAATGTGAGCCCCCAATGTGGCAGCACTGCCTTGAAACCCTGACCCCCTGCCCACCACCAGACACAATGCCCTGAGCCTTCTCCCTTCACACACAAATGTCTGTTCTTGTGTTCGCTGCAGTGTGCGCGTTGGGGTTCGGGCTGGGGCAGGACTGAGCTCTCTGCTTTTTAAAAATATTCTATGTAAATGTAAAAAGTGTTATTTAAATATATATTTTTTAAAATCTTAAACTCACCAACTTTGCTGAAAAGAAAGCTCACACACTACTGCATTAAAATGAACCACGTCTTGTGTGGACACTGTTGTTTCCCCAAGGGAGTTCAGGCCTTTGAGATGCTCAGGGCTGTGCCTGCCTTAGAAAACTGGCCAGAAACGTGAAGCGGTTACCTGGCGTGGGTACGACCGGAGGAGTGATGCCATGAGGCCTCTGTTGTTGTCGTTGCAAACCGTGGACCTCGTAGAGGTCGGGCCGGGCGTGGGGCCAGGGCCCCCCAGATTCTGGAGGGATTCTGGAGGGATTCTGATCGTTTGTGCAGCCCCGGGCTGGCGGGAGCTCACACAACTTTAGTCAGCAGAAAACGAAGCCCAGGGCCCTCCTCACCTGCCGTGAGGACCAGGGAGGGTTGCCACTCTTTCTGAGGTAGCGCAGCTCCCTCTCCCTGCAGACCCAGGATGGTGGCCGTGGGGCCCAGCGGTTCCGGGGCGCCGGCTCCCACGGAGGTGACTGGATTGGGTACGGCCCAGAGGGAGCGGGGTTGGGTCGTCTTGGACAACGTGCAGGCATGTCGACATAAGTTGTGCTTGACCCTCCTCGGAGCCAGGGATGGCGGCGGGGGGACGAGGTCTGGGCCTCGTGCACATGCAGATGTGCCTGCCTCCATAGCTGGGGGCACTGGCTTCCAAGGACAGAGCCCACCAGTGTAGCGTGCCCCTCCCGTCCCCTCAGCCGCGCTGGGTGCCTGTGCCTGCACATGCCTTGGGCCCCGCGGCTCCTTTGGGCCTAGCGCGCTTGTGGTCCACTTGTTTCCCGTGGAAGCAGCTGCTTGAAGGGCCAGGCGCAGCTGGAATTGCCATCTAACCGCCCTCCTTGTTCCCTACCGGGGAAAGCCAGGCTGTCTTTGGCAGGTGACGACTTGAGTCCCAAAGTTGGAGTGGGAGGGATTCTTTTTTTTTTTTTTTTTTTTTTTTAATGAAAGGGGGTGTGAAATATCCAAGCAGTTATGGGAATATCTTTTTTCATTAGAGAATCTGTTTGAGGTATTTCCAATCCAGAATTTGGATTTTTTTGTTGTTGTTGTCAAATATATCTTTCCTCCCATCCTTCCTTTTCTTTTTATGAAGAAATAATTACATTAACCCAGATAGTGTTCACTAACTTTTCTAGTCACCTCTTCTAAAAGACAATTCATTTTGTTCAAATTACATTTATCGCCTTACTTTTAAGCTTGACCTGTGCGTCCTAAGTCAGTGAGCTGAATGGGAACCAGTGAGAGAGAGTCAGCCCAAGGGGCCATGGGCAGAGAAGAGCTTCTGCCCTCCCTGTGTCCAAAGGCAGTTCCAGGTCCCTGAATGCCTCTCACCAAGAAGCTGCGCGGGATGTGAGATCAGCAGATGGGTCACCAGTTGGGGAGGCAGGCTGGCAATCCGCCAGGGCAGTTTCTCTTAGCCAGTGTTTGAAAGAGTAAACCAATCATCTGGCCGCCCTCCCCCACCCCCTTTACCTGTGGAAATCTGTTGAAGTGAGCTTGGGAGGGGCCTTGGCAGCCCACCAGGACACCTGGCCACCCCACCCCAGAATGCCTGTTGGGGGAGGGGGAGAGGAAGGAAGGCAGCTGCTGCCTGTGCCAGGAGGAGGAGGCCCGGCAGCACTGATTTCTGGGGCCTCAGCCGCGGCTTGAGATCGGCGCTCAGGGAGAGGCACGTTGGCTGGCAGCCTCTGGCAGGAGCTCCCAGAAGAGGCTGCTCTCAGCTGAGACATGGTTGTGGCCTTTGCAGTGTTCCTAAATGCCCCCAAACTCAGGCATCTTCCACACCCCAAACCATAGGAGAACTACCCCCTCCTCTTATTTTGGCTTTGGTTAAAGTCCACCCTCCAGGCTCCCTGAGGGATGACGTAATGTTGAAAGAAGAACGGAGGATCAGAAGCGTGGCACTGAGGCCATGTCGGAATTTTAGGAGATTTATTGTTGCAGGAGGTCCCAGAAGTCCTCTGCCGCCTCCTCCCCACGGGGTGGAGGTGACCCACAGCTCTTGAAGGTGGTCCCAGCAGAGCGTAAAGACGTTTGGCAGGTTCCACAGGCTTCCAGGACAGCCCCAGAGCCCAGCTGGGTCTGCCCCCTGAGAACGGGCCGGCAGAAAGGCTCAGCTTGACACTGGGGGATTCCGTCCAAACCAGTCCCCCCCACGAGTCGGGTGCCTGCCCTGTGCCAAGCCCTGCCAATACAAAGACAGTAACACAACCTTCCCTGCTTCGAGGAGCTTGGCTGTGGCAACCTCACTGATACATACGCACGGGGGCGTATCTACTCATGGTTCCAGGAAATCCATTAGATTTTTTGTTTTTGCTTAATAAGGGAGCAGTAAAAGGAAAAAAGTTGAACTGTTTGGCAGGGTTTGGGGCTTGTGTTTTGGTTTTTGGTGTTTTTTGGCTAGCCCGTGAGGCCTCCAGAGGAGGATGGTGTAACGTGTTCCACTCCGACTTCTTATTACATCTGAGGCCCAAAGGTGCTGTAACCACCCAGCAGCCTCTTTCAGGTGAATCTCTGTGGCGTGTGGTGGTGGAAATGGAGGAAATGGAATCCAGGGACTATCAGTTTTTCCACTGCCGCCCCAGACGTCAAGATGCGCTTGCTCTGGGTGTGGGCCTGCCTCCCGCAGCCCGGTCTTGGTGCCAGGCCGTAAGGTTTCAGGCCACACAGCCCCTTCTCACTTCTGTGTGGGGGAGCTGATGAAAAGTGATTGTGTGAATGTTTCCACTGATGAGGTGTAGCCTCGGTGACATGACTTGGGGTCTGCCCCGACTTGATCCCCAGTCCAAGCGATTGTATAAAGCTATGTTTCCGCTTGACAGCCCCTTCCCTATTTGCTGCTAGGCTTCAGGCAAATAACATGAAAATCATGATGACGGAATTATTTTTAAACAGTCCAGCTTTTGTCTATTCTTTATATATAAACTGTCTCCGTTGTGTTGGGCTAATGAGGAACTATTTTCAATGTTCTTAAAATTTTCTCCCATAGCACTTAAAATATTTTGTAAAAGACTTTGCTGTAAAGATTTGTAAGAATACTGGTCAAAGGGCTCTTTCTCCAACATTACCATTTTTAAAAATGTTTTAAAGGCTAGAAAACAACTTGTGTATATTCTGTATATGTATAGCAACACATTTCATTTATGGAAATATGTTCTCAGAATATTTATTTACTAATATATTTATCTTAAGCCATGTCTTATGTTGAGAGTGTGACATTATTGGAATAATCATTGGAAATCACTAACCCAAGGCCCTGTAAATACATGATAATTGCACCCAAATTCTGCATATTCGCTGACCAAAAACATGATTTAAGTTGTAGTCTTCTACCGTTTTGTAACAAAGTGTACAAAAGGCTGTAAAAAAAAATACAGTTTTATCAAGTATGTATGAGATGTTGTCATTCTGTCTTGTGAAAATCAACAACGGTTCTGAGAAAAACCAAGAGGGTCTAAAGGGTCAGCTCTGAAAGTTTATTGGAAATTCCACCCTTTCTCCATTAAAAGTAGCTATGTACCCTGCAACAAACCCTGTATATTTCCTCCTGTGAAATGAAGGAGGTTACTTGGCCATCTCTGCAGTCCCTTCCAGCTGTAGAGCGTAAGCCGGTATCTTACTAATGTCTTATGGAGAGGTCTTTACCAGAGGTCAGCAGAGACCGTATTTGTACCGTTAGCACCTAATCTCCATGTGCTTGGATAAATCACTTAATCTCTTGGAACCTCAGTTTCTTCATCTGTACACCACAAATAAAGCCTGTGCTGCTAGGTCCTGGTTAGTGCAAATTACGAGTTTCCTAAGGTGGTCTCATGCATTCAGAGTTTTCATTATGTAAAACACGGTCATTGGGTCCAGCCCAACAGAAATGTGCTAGGGGTTGGGAGGGACCTAGCTGTCTTCTCAGACATGGCCGAGGTTTAAATGGGATAATGTATGTAATGCATCTCATTTACAAGGTTAGGTTCTATGAATGCCAGCTGTCATTGTTAGGGTCTTTCAAGCTCACCCCTGCACTGAGATCCAGGGGCATGCCCACTGGCTTGGGTTGGTTGTAGGGCCCCATTGATTGTTGGATTGGGAGTCAGTATCAATGTAGAACCTATCCAAAACAGTGAGACAGCTTTGTAAGGAGCCCGTGGCTCAGCGGCTAGGGAGGGAGAAGTGGAAAGATGGGTGGAGTCATTCAAACTTGTCCCATTTATTTTATAAATGTCCCTTAATAAGCATCATCTGCCTGACTTCTCATTAGAAATGCCCTGTTCTGCCCTGATGCATGACCCTTACCATTCAGTTCTCTCCCCCCTTCCCCCACAAACACCTGGAAAGAAAATTAAAGGATAGAAATGAGTGACTTGGGAGAGAATCTATAACGGGATCATGGAGCTAAAAAGTGACTAGGATCTCCCAGATCACTTAATGCAAGGATTCCTAACCTCGAGAGGAGGTAGAGAAATTCTTTTTAATATTTTGGCAACTAAATTTCAATATATTTGATTTCCATTGTAATTTTTTATTATAATCTTATGTATTGTATTTTATACATGTAAAAATACCCTGAAAAGGGGTTCATGACCCAAAAAATGTCAAGGCCTCCTGATGTAATGCAGGACACCCCTACCCCAATTAATCCAAGAGGAAAATAAAACCCAGAGAAGGAAAGGTCTTCCCCAAGGTTCCACAGCTGGTAAGTGGCAGAGACCAGACCCCTGATTTTCTTGCCCCCTTCCTCTCTTTTCTCTCCCTCCCCCACATTACCACAGGCTTCAACCCTCAAGACAGTGCATTGTGGCAAGGATGGAATGAGTGCCCAATGAGGGAGTCTTAGACCCATCCAAGAAAAGACCAGGAAGGCACCTTCTCAGTACAAAGTGGTGTTTTTTATTTTCAGGCATCCAGTATCAAATATTAATAGATGTTTCTATTCTTCCATTCTATTCCCACGATCTTTACTCAATCTTCAGCCACTTGGCCATTGCTGGTGGCTCGCTGGCATCCCTCTCCAGTTTGGGACCTGTGCGCTTCCTAGGCACAATGGCATCGTTCAGGCAGCTTCCGGAGCCTGCTCCAGGGCTGGGAGTTGTGGCCTGACTGCACAGGGCTTCCCAGAGCTTTCGCTTGATGACCTTCCCTAGCTCCAGGCTGTATCTCCTGGGGGTCCCTGATGTGTTCCACAGCATGGGCTCCACCACTGAGTGGTACAAGGCTGTGTATCGCTCAGCAGAGAGCCCGTGGATAACAAGTGCCTCCTGGGAATGTTGATCGCTCCTGTTTTCTGGAGGCAGGTCTTGGATTATCCCGGCTGTTCCCTCGATTTCCTCTGGGGGTGTTTGGGTAATGGCCCCATATTGGAGATCTTCACTGACTGCCCCCTTTTCTTCGTTTTGATTTTCTTTGCTCTGGACAGGGAAGAGAAGGGAAAAAAAGATCAGAGCTAGAAGCAGAGGAAAAATCAGTTTATTCAATTTCGCGAACCAGAAAGGTCAATTTCTTTGACTTGTCAACAAGAGACAAACATTTTTTAAGCACTTAGTATGTGCTGGGCTAGGGATACAAGGCAGAAATAGGCCTTGCCCTCAAGTAGCTTGCATTCTAATGAAGGAGGACAGAAGGTAGGAAGAGGAAGTAGACCCATGATTTCACTGATTTAAGGAGCTACCAGATGATAGTTCTACCAATGTTTATTGGCAGCACCTAAGGTCTGGGGAGTTACCTAAAACTCCGAGAGGGCATGACTTGTCCGGAGCCACAGCCAAGATGTGCCAGAGAGGCAGGAAAATGGGGAGACAACATAGAACCAACTACCCACAAGATTTTTAGAAAAGAAGTGGACAGGGAGAACAGGAGAGGCCTTCTGCGGAAGATGGCGTAGGAGATGCGTTTTACAGGAAGCCTCATATAAAGGGCAGAGCTGTGGAAGAAGACCATCCCAGGTCATGGGGGACAGTCAGCAAAGGACCGGAAATGGGTGGAGTGGTGCAGAAGGAGCAGCAAATAGGCCAGGGTGGCTGGATGCTAGAATCTGAGAAGGGAGATACCATCAGGAGGGGAAAGGTAAGAAGGGGCCAAGTTCAGAAGAGCTCTAAAGGCCCAAAGACTTTACGTTTGGTCTTGGGGGGATGAAGGGGGCCCTACTGAAAGGCCAATATTCTTCAGTCTGACTTTTTTTTTTTTGAAGAGTCTTTTATCTTGCTCTGCTGATGGCTACCTGTGTGACCTTGGGCAAAGCACCTAACTTCTGGCCCTCCCTGGTATAATTCTCTATGTAAAATAAAGAGTGTTAGGCTATCTTCTCCCTTCCCAATAGAGAGGCAGGGCTTTGTGAGGACTCAATGATACAAACACAAGTCATTGTAAGGACTATCTGCCTAGTTGTTTTTCACATTTATAATCTGGGGGGCTGGAGGGAGGGAGTAGGTAGGAATCTGTCCTGTACCTCACTATTATGTCCTGTAGGCCTCATAAGATCTGATGTGCCGGACAGCTTCCCGGAAGGGCTCTTGTTTTTGTTTGGGACAGACTCTCTGTTCTCCTCCCCTGGGTCAGCCCTCACTGCTGCAGTCCCGTTGGTCTTGACCTTAGGAATCTTCCATGCTTTCCCCTCACCACCTAACTTGGGAGGTATGGGGCAAGATTTGTCGTTCAGCTGCCTCCTGAGGACTAACTTAACCAGAGAGAAGGAGCTCGAAACTAGGGGGTTCTTGACAACTTCCCAAGAAGACGCGGGACTGCCCTTCGTCGCTACGTTCGGGTTTGCGCGCGTCTTAGAAGTCCATATGTTGGTGAGGGTGGGTGCGTCAACGTAACAGTCCTGGAGCCGCTTATTAACAAGGATGGACTGCCGAAGTCCATAGGTTGGAATGCCAGTGTTTCGCCTCATATAGATGGGGTGCTAGAATTCCAAGAAAAGAGGAAAAGAAATGGGGAAAGGTCATTAGTCAGGATGCATAGAGGAGATACGAGGTCATACCACGTTTTTCTAGAACATCCCTTCCAAGTTTCTCTTGAGAGCGAGCCCTCCCTAACCTTGCACCATGCTCACCAAAATACTCCTACGTGAAGTAGGAGCCAAAGAATCTTGCTTTGGGAAGGCACCTCGTTGACCATTGAATCTCGCCCTATCGTACCTGTACAAGAGAGAGTCCTTCTAGAACACCCCTACAAAATAACCGTCCAGCCTTGGGGGAACCAAAGGGCACTTCCACTCAGGCCCCAGCCAGCCAACAGTTTCGCAGTGTCCTCTGGTATAAGGAGGGCAAGTGCTTTTGGAAAATTCACAAGAATTAGAAGGGTTATGGCCAACCTCCCAGAACTTGGGCTTCATGCTTTTCCCCAGCCTGTTTTCAAGGACCTTACCATCTAGTTGGAGACACTAGGGAACCGGGAGCTTGGAAAGACTAGAACCCAGGTGACCTCACTCCCCAGTCAGTCACAGTGCCTTTGAACCCCACCTGCCAAAGCCAAGAAGTGCAGAGGTAAGTGTACTTGGTGTCTGTAAACACAAAGGCATGGGGCATCACTTAGGCTAGGGGCTGTCTTCAGGGAACGGAACACAGCCATGAAGCATACCATAGTCCCATAGTCTTATAATTTGCTTGACTAGACTAGATCCCCAAATTCAAACTGGATTTCTAAATAATTGGATCTATAATTTAAAAAAATTAAAAAAAACCAGAAGATTGATTACCTTACCATATTTTGGTTGTCTTGAATTTTATTTTAGCTAGCTTAGGAAAACAATAGGTACGTATAGCCTTTCTTCCCCCCCCCCCCCTTTTAAAAATATTTCTATTCACCTGCCTTTCTCTGGCTCAGTCATGTATGGACAAATTGTTTTGTTTTGTCTTGGTCTGTTGAAAGCAGTTTGGTACTGTTACCTCTAGTATTTGTGATGTCACTTGGTTTGTGATGTGTGTATGTATGTTACATCATCGTATTTTATAATTAAATTGGGTTGGGAGAAATTTTATTTGGTTATGCCCTAGATGTAGAAGTTCTGTGAAAGGCCATGGGGTAGAATAGGGTAGAAAGGGATAGGAGGGCAGAAGGCCTCAACCAGAATCCTGCAGCTGGGGCCTCTCAAGCCAGATCTTCTTTGACAAAGATGTGGATCACCCCCATCACCCTGTCACCCCAAAGTGGATCACTTCTCTTATCTGAGCCTCAGTTTCCTCATCTGTGAAATGGGAGTGAGGCTTAGCATCACCAACACTTTGGTGGTTGTGAGGATCGTCAGATGAGATGGTGGACTGGAAGGTGCTTTATGAACTTTGAGACATGAACTTGAGGAGACCAGGTGGTAGTAGAGTAGGAAGTCTCGTCCTCTCTTGGAGGGGAGGGTTTAGATTTTTTTAAAATTCTGACGACTGGGCTATTTTATGGATGGTTT